TAAGAAAATGGTTCATTAGTGTTCATGGAAACCAGAAGATCAATCTGCCCTTGTGAAAGTTAATGAATACACAGAAATATCACATCATGACCCCTGATCTCTATGCCTGAGGCAGCAGTATTATTATGCGCTCGCCAAAATTGCTCAGCAACAGCACTCAGATACCACTCTTATTGCATTAATTTTATCTTTGTGATTACTTAAATTAATAGCATTCTGGCTACAAGTCACAAACTTCAAGAGATGTTCATCTGCTTAAATATTAATGATGCTGTAAGGTGTAAGAAGGGAAAGCAAAATTAAATACTAACAATTTTCAGAATACATATTAACAACAGTACAAGCATGAAAAATAAAGTTGTTTCACTCAGACAAATGCTGAAACAACCCATTTAAACCACTACCTCCTTACCTCAAGGAAGTCAAAATCATTTTGTTAAATCTTGGTCAAGTAAAAAGTGTAAGATCTCCTTTATCTTAAAAAAAAAATAAATAAATAAAAAAAAAAGTACTGAAGCATGATGAAAATACCTCGAGGGCTTGAGCAGCTTTTGGCAAGTCCTTGTTTGACTGCGTCTCCCTCTATAAAACGGAAATGGAGAAGATGTCAGCCATCCCATTTCTCTCAGCAGCACAATGATTCACAGTAGTTACGTTACCCTCTATGTTATTTTAGATAATGGCATTTGCATTCTGTTATCTGTAATAAGAACATCTAAGAAAATGTAAATTATAGTCTTTTTATTATGATTTTTTTTCCCCCTAATGCACTTGGTTCCAGGATTAGCCTTTTAAGACCATTACCTGACAAGTTCTGCTGCAGTTTGGACCATCTCCATCTACTCATTTTGTTGTTACCAGTTCACTGGTTCATTCCAAAAGTAACTTTTCTTAGCATGGATTTGAAAAGTGGAGTAAGCAGCTCTATGCTTTCTCTTCTGATCCCTTCTTCTTTTGCCCCTAAAATATATTCTTCCATCTCCACAATTATGACTTGCAGGCTGGCCACTGGTCTTTTGTGGGATGAAAGGGACCAGAGGGTACAGCATTTCTGTCTGGTCTTTGAGAAGCAGCTGTCTGAGAAATCGCCCAGCATTACTTAGAGCTGTATGAATGGGAAAGGTTACACAGAGCCAGAGACCTGCTCATTTGGATGACTTTGCAGAACACTTTTGCGCCTTTGAAAAAGTTATCTAGGAAGATCTGTGGACATTTGAGAAAGAAGAAGGTTGAAGGATGTAAAAGGCCATGCTGGAATTTGGTGGAGCAATTGAAACTAGTCCGTAAAATTGTTATCATCCTTTTTACATTCAGGACAAGCTCAAAAAAACCCTTGTGAAGTCCTGTTAATGTGGAGGGCCTGTGTGTAGAGCAGAGACTGGAGAAAAGTGGTTCTCAAGGATTTGTCACACACTGATCCTTGAATCCCGTGGTAACCCTGAGCCCCACAGTTCTACAAATGGATTTGCAGCACATTTGCTGAAGTACATGCCTTCAGACACAGTGTAGCTCAGGTACCTGAAGGATTTCCGCTCCAATTCTGCATTGTTTTCACCAGCGTATCAGGTACCACCGACACCCAACCGGCACACATGACTGCATCATCATATCACTGTTGTACGCACGCAGTCTGCTGTACAGCCTAAACACCCCAGCTCCAAATGCAGTGAAGACCTTTCCCTCGCCATAAAGCCAGTAGCTGTACGAGTAGCAAACCCTCTCAATTCCTTCAGCTAATTGACCTTGCTAGCTAAGCAAGTCACCAATGATACAAAGATTAAGTGACAATCTGTTGGTACCACAAATTAAAACAAAGCAACTTCTTGATATTGCATCATACACACACAGTAATCCAAAGCAAAGTTACTTTTAGGCCTTTTTTCCACCATTCGCAGACAGTTTCACTAGAAAGAATAATATCAGAGCTAGCTGATTTAGTGACCCTTCATGTAAAGGCCAAGGCTAGAGTGGCTTTTTTTTGTCGTCTTTGTAATTGGACTGTTCAACCACAGATAGATATAGTAAGACTATCATTGCATGAGTGAAGTGTGAATAAAAGCATTTACTGAACTGTCATATCCATGATAAAACAACAGATGCTGTCAGCTCTAAAGGGAATACATTAGCAGAAGTAAACCTGAAAGATAAAGACCTATTAGTCATAACATGCCTTTCAATCACTTATTTATGTTAGCAGTTCAGCTTTGAAATAAAGTTAACATAATCCTTATTTACAATAAATTAAGCTTATCTTAGCACTATGCTGTACCTTTAATCAATGATGGTAGACCGATTTTTTTCCTTCAGAAGCACATTTACCTTCACCACACTCATTGGTTTGCTTCCTGAAAGCCTCCCTCACCTCCAGTTCTGTTACTACAACCCTTTTGGATGTAGAAACCCATCATCTTACCTTTTCCCGGTGTTTTACTTCACAACTGATAATATGTTTATTGAACTGATACACAGATCCTAGGCCCAAGCGAGTTAAATAAGATCTTACTGGAGTGACTAGTTACTTCAGGACACTGTAACAAGCAGAAAGGCTGAATTGACTTGGAAACATCTGCTCCTTCCTTATTTCTGGAGAGAAAGCCTGTTTAATAAAGGAAGGTAAAGACATCATACAGTGCACAGTTTAATTCAAGAGCTGAACTGTCCCAACATGTCAGCACTGCAACAGGGCACAGCTAGTTGTAGTAGCTGAGCACCTTAGCTTGGGATCAGCCACCATATGGGACTCCAGCCAAGACCCTGCCAGCCTTAAGCAGAGCAAAAGAATTACTTCAGCTGTCTTGAAAGCTAAATGCTTTTACATTCCTTTATGACATTTAGCTGTTTTGCAGCAGTGTGGCCTTGTTGCCCCATGTTCCACTTGTAATCTGCGATAACCCCTACATCCCTTTCTAAAGGGCTGCTGTCTTGCTTCTTTTCCCATTTTGTATTTGTGTAGTCAATTAGCCTCGCTTAGAAGCACTTGCCCCTATCGAATTCCTTCAATTTGTCCAGATCATTTTGTATTCTAACCTTGTATTCTTGTGTCCTTCCTTCCAAATTTATAGATCTGCAGTTTTAATAAGCACAATCCCTACTGCTCCATCCCAGGGATTTACCAGGACTGTGTGCTTGTTTGGACTGGGATGGAGGTAATTTTCTTCATAGTAGCTAGTATGGGGCTATGGTTTGGATTTGCACTGAAAGGCGTTGATAACACAAGGATGTTTTAGTCATTGCTGAGCAGTGCTTACACGGAGCCAAGGCCTTTTCTGCTTCTCACATCATCACACCACCGAGCAGGCTGGGGGTGCACACGAAGCTGGGAGGGGACACAGCTGGGACAGTTGACCCCAACTGGCCAAAGGGATACCCCACACCATACGACATCATGCTCAGCAATATATAGCTGGGGGAAGGAGGAGGAAGGCGGGCAACACTCAAGAGTGATGCCAATGTCTTCCCAAGTAACCACTACGCGTGATGGAGCCCTGCTTTCCTGGGGACAGCTGCACATCTGCCTGCCGATGGGAAGTGGGGAATGAATTCCTCATTTTGCTTTGCTTGTGTGCGCAGCTCTTGCTTTACCTATTAAACCTGTCTTTATCTCAACCCACAAGTTTTCCTCACTTTCACCCTTACGATTCTCTCCCCCCATCCCACCGGTGAGTGAGCAGCTGCGTGGGGCTGAGCTGCTGGCTGGGGTTAAACCACAACAGACTGGAAGCAGACACAGAACCGAACACCACTCTGGACATCCTCCTCCAGCACGGAACACTGACAGCATCTCTGAGTACGGCTCACTGTAACTACAAGCACAGTTTTAAAATCTGCTTTTAGTCATCACATGGTTCATGATCAATATCATGTCCTCTCACTCTGCTTTGAAACTTCACATTCAGAATTAAAACCCAAGATATTTGGTATTTTTACTCAAACCGTAAGACCATTACATCTCTGTCAGGAGAGAAAATTAGCCCGTTCCAACTCATTCTCTACAAACATGAACAAACGAAGCTCATTCTCTACAAACCTACTCCGGCCATTGCAATCTTTTACTTTTCTTCCAGAATATCTGCTGAAAAATTAGCTGTTAACATTATACATACCTAGATAAACGCAATTATCGTTAGATCTGTATCCCTTTTTTTTTTTTTCAATTAAAAATATGCAGAGACCATATTCCCCACTGGCACAATCAAAGTAAGATCTAGTCCCTAAGCTTGTTAGGTAAGCAGGAATAAGATGGTTAGAGATGATCAGTCTGTCTTGTAACCTGACAAGGCGTTCATACTCAGAGCTTGTTAACAAAATGATTTAACTCCACCTTGCCAAGCACAGCGCTTCACTTGCATTCAGGGTAACCATAGCTTTCTGTCTACAGCTGTTACACATTTCTGACCATTTGGTGTAGCACACAGTAGTCAACCATGCTATTTTTGAAAAGTCTGTTTGCTGTTAAATTAAGATGCTGGTGCCAGTCTCTGAAAGTAGTGCCTAACATGGATGCTGTCACAAACCAGAAAAATCTGCTTTCTGCCACAAAACGGTTTGCAGCATTGTGAGATTCCTGTTGAATCTACTACTCTGCTTCACTAGGACACCGGCAAGTGGTTGTGTGGCTGTAGATGTGGAGGGGGATTCGCAGCAAACCACTGTCCCCATCCACACCCCCTTCTAGTGCCCTAGTGGCTCCACAACTGCTCTGCTCGTGATGCTGACAGTGATGACAAAAAGCACTGTATCACAAATTAAGTGGGACTTTTTTTTATTTTAAACATTTACAGAGATGGAAATAAATACAGGAAGTAGAAGATAGAGAGGGTGCTTTTAAAAGAAATCAATCAAGTCTCCATCAGGCTTCAAACAGGGAAAACTGTATCCAATAGCTGCTTAAAACTGGCCACCAATTCAAAGGTCAAGGATTAGGCTGAACAATAACGTAAATAACTAAAGATAAGCATTACAACAAACAAGGATGACACAGCTATAATAGACAAAATGGAACCACACTACAACAGGAAAGTTTCATATATTTACAACATACCTATCATACAAAAACATTCGGAAATATTTAGGGAGTGATTTCTTCTCTGTCCAGCTGTAAGATATAAAAGATACATTGGAGGGTTTATTGGTTTTGTTTCCCTCCCCAATATCTACAGAATAGTTTTAGCTTTGGGCAAAGTTTAGAAAAAAAAAAAAAAACCAACAGCTTTGTATTGCAGGAATTTTTCATCCAACCTGAACTTTTCCATGTTTCCATCTTTGCTTATCATCACTGTCATCCACTGGGGCAGTTTGTCAGAAGACAAAGAGTTTGTAAAGTTCTTTACAGTCTTTTATCGATGGTCTGACCTGTAGGTTGGAAAAGTGTCCGTGCGATGAAGCTTCACTGGGCTAGAAACATCTTTGCCAAGTCAGATGCAAAAAAACAGAACAACACTCAGTAAGACATAGGCACCTTACTCAGCATTTTATAAAGGACTATGTGAATGACAGATTAAAGCCTTTTAATTAAATCTATCCCTGCTTAATCTGCTGCTCCATCTCACAAACATCTCCACTCAGATTTTCTTACTCAGTTCCTTAAGGACAGAAAGTTGCACAAAGCAAACTAATTTTTAAAAAGTTCTGACTTTGCATTTTAAATGAAAAAAACCACACTTTAGCTGACAATATTAGGATCATTTCTTTTCTGCACATTAGAAAAGAAGACAAGATTCCAACTTTGGTGGAAGAAAGTTTTTGCATACAAGGTTTCACGTGCCTCTACCACCGAGTAAGCAAAATGCTGCTTCATACATACGGAATCACACAACTCAGTATAACAACTATTTCATATTTCTTTTTCCAGTAATAATTGAAGCATTTCAAGATTTTGGCAACCTAATCTAATTAGAGGTGCTCGGGGTACTACTGAAGTAGTAGCGCTGAGTGCTGAACGAGACAAGGACTTCAGTGTCTTTCCTAATTACAATGCTGGCTGCATGGCCTACTTATTTCACAAAGACTTTTACCCCATTCTCATGACGACAATCTCCTAGGATCCTTTTTCTCCAGTTTAACAAGCAAGCTATTTTTCTAAATATAAAACAAGTGGTTTGTACCCACACAGTCTATCTTTTGTCACCTCAATGCTGAATTATTGTTTTAATAAAGGACTCTATAGCAAGGCACAGTAAGACCAATCCACTGATTGTGTCAGAGTGCTGCAAGCAGTCTTGTTCTTGTGTGCCACAGGCTGCCACCAGCAGGTCATCTTCCCATGCCCTAATTTATTGAACAAATTTGAACAGGCATGTAAGTGCTGCTTTCATTATTCACCCCTCCTCTGGGACATTTGCCGGTTTAGCTCGGGCTTTTTATGTGCTGCCTGCCCCCTCTAGTGTTGAAAAAATGAAAAAGGAAAAATACTACCTTTTATGATTTGCTGAGAATCAAGAGGACCACAGTGGAATCTGGCTACATATGTCAGGGCTGCCAGCGCTTGTAATTTTTAATCACAGCTTGTGATATTCCATGTTCTGGAGGTACTAACCTCTACAATCTATGGCTTTATTAAAAAAAGTAAAATAAATATCTATCATTCATCATTCCTTGAGAAACTCCTAGCATCTGAGAGGAGGAAAAAAAAAGAAACAAACTAAAAAAAGAGACTCTCAAAGGCTACCAAACCAGGGTGTTTTAAAATATCTGTCTAGTGATTTCTGAATGCTTGATGTTGGTAAATGGTATTTCCATGTTAGTACTAGAAAGCCCTGCCAGCTCCTGAGGTTTTCTGCTAAACACAGGTTTACCTGTGGGGTTTTTTTGCAGCATGATGAGGCACCAAGAGCAGGGCTGCCCCTTGGTGCACACCAGCCCTGACCTTCAGAGATGCGACCCATACCCTGATGGCCAAGCTGAGCTTCACTTTCTAATGCCTCTATGAGGAAGGGAAACTGCTTTAGTCCACCTTTATCATCCAAAAGTTTAATCAAGCTCAGCCTTTTTTTCCACATGCTGTGAAAATAAAGTTATGGCAGGTATTGGCTCCTTCCATTCTTCTATCAAGTGTTTAGTCTGGTTTCTGCTGGCTTTTCTGAGTAACACCCCGATCTCGACTTCACAATTCATCAACACCAACCTTCTGTACAAACACTAACCCAGCCAATCCATGGAGCTTAGAGTGGAAGAATGTGTTTTGAAATACAAATGGGGTGTTGGTTGTTCGGGGTATTTTTAATCCTAAAAATACACATGAACAAGATGCTGGCTTTGACCAGCTCCTCAGAGGTACTAAGCACCTGCAGCTCCTACTCCAGAGATGCCTCTGGGGAAACTGTCACAAGGAACAGCAGTGATGCCAGTGCTGCGGTTCTCCCTGGCTCAGGAGACTGAAGTTCAGGTTTTGAAGACGCTCTGAAATACACGGCAGAGACGGCTCCTGTCAGCACTGCTGCGGAGCCCCTCTCCGCCACCCCTCCTGCAGGTGCGGTGCGCTCCCGCTCCACCTCCCCATCCATGCACTCAAGTAACCACTAGATGTCCCCTGGTGACCACGGAGGGACAACTGGGTGCAGAGACCTCCTCGGGGAGCGATTCCTCCCGCTCTGCAGCCTGGGGAGGCTTTCAGGCATGAGGGGACTGAGCTGTGCTGCCCCTCGGGCTGACAGCAAGGAGGGGATTTGGAGGAGAAGACACCTGCCCACCTTCAGGCCACGCTGCAATGCACGGTGGCAGCACTGCAGCTGTCCAAGCAACAGTTTTCTAGAACTATGTATTGTGGCCATTTCCCTTTACTTTCCCTAATTCAGCTCTTTTCAAGGATGCAGGTTTTTTGGTTGAATGTTAGCAAGTACAAAAAATGAATAATGAAGACTGCATCATTCTTAGTACGAGGCAGCCACCCAAAGGAGAGGGGAGTCAAATGGTTATAAGTCTGGAAAAAAACTAGATGCCATTAAGTTTGGTAGCAGAAAGGATTGGGCAACTTTGGTAACTGACCATCCTGCAAAAACAGTGAGAAAACTTGTCAAATGAAGGATCCCTCTCCAATGGGAAGTAAGAAGAGCACCCCCTGATGACAACCCCTCGGCCAAGCTGTCCATCTCAAGGACAAGGGATGTGCCCTTCTCTCCATCAACCAGACAGCAGTGGCAACTGGCTTAGACTGAATAGCAGTAAGATGGACAGATACTGAACGATACAACAATGTCGTGGTCCGATTTGTGCATTGACTCTTCCCACCCCAGCCCCTTACCTTGCAGGCCGTAGAGCTGCCCAGTGCTGTGCTGTCGCGTGATGTGCTGCCAGTAGGCACTGCGGGGCAAGGGCACCATGGTGCTGAGGGACACGGCTCGCTCGCTCATTTTCATCTGAAGCTGCAAAGCAGTAAACTGATGTGAAGGAGACAGGCTGAGAAAAGCACCACTGGCTGCAAGAACTTCTCAACAAATAGCCAGCACGGCCT